TTAAAATTCATCATTTTTACAATCTCGAAGGTGATACCCTGAACGAGACTGCGTTATGTCAAACAGTCAAATGAGCTTTGACGTGCTTCTGGAACAGTAAAAAAAATGAACGAGAGTTTCCATGACAACTTCGCAGTAATATAATTAAATGTTATTTATTCGCAACAAAAAACAAACTTCAGAGCATAAATTCACTGCTCACTGTAGTTGAAGTGCTCATTGACGAATGTCAATGCTGGACGAGTGTTAACTTCCAAACTTTCTGTCATCAATATTAATCATTTTCGAGGAGCGTCATTCAGCTCTCAATTGTTTTTGAATTTGTTAATTCTATTTCGGTGAAGAATGCAATTTTCTTGATGTGCTTTGAAGTTTCATTCATTACTTTGTGAGTTTTAGGAGAACTTGTGTTAAATTCATCGACCTCATCAAAGAATTCAATATCTGATGAGCAAAGGACCATTTTGAAAACACCGTTGAATAAGAAGAAAATTGAATAGGAAGAAGAAAGAATTATGAGGAAAAAAATCACTGAGCATTAATTTGTCAATATCCTCAGTTCGTGTTCCCTTATCGCCTTCACGAATAACTTTCCATAGAGGCGAAAGAATCGCATTGGTCACAAATGTGTTTAGTGCTCGTCGCAAAAATTATTCGATGTGTGTCGATCATGAAACAAACAATTTTTAAAAAAATTTCATTATTTGCTCCTTACTCGAAACTAATCACCCAGGCTATTTCTCTCAACATTTTTAAAATCCAACTTCTGCTCTTCTATTCGAAAGAAGTTCATTCTTATAACACCCCATGCCATTATGCATTCATTGCACGAAAAGTTTTGATGCAAGAAAAATGATCTGAAAAATTCTTTGAGAACAACGATGTGGTTAGCTCATGTTCACTCATTTTTTCAGTTCAAACCAATGCACCATTACTGCTTAATCATTGGTTTAGCTATTTTGCTATTGCGCATTCAGGTGAGTAGTACTTCGTTGGTTGTTGGTACATGCAATTCATTGTCAAGAAATTCTTTGCTTTTATTACAAAAAAATAATAAAGTAATTCTCGCGATGTTGTGGAAAAATCTTTGCACTTAATCAGCTCATCTCGATGATTCAAAGAGTGAGAGTTTCACGGCAATGTGTGAGTTTTAGACGGCGTTCAATACAGAGAAATTATGTTTTATTCGGATTTGTATTTCGAATTTTGAGAGTGAGAGGCTCGTGAGAAAAGCCATGTATGTGCCTATGGATGAGTGAAATTGAGAACTCAGAATGCCTTTCAGCTACACTTCGATTTTACTTGGGATCAACAACCAGTTGGTGAGCAATGAATTGAGTTGTGTTTACGAATTTTTTAAGTGATATGCTCAGATGGTTCATTTGCAAATGCATTTTAGGCAGATTCAATGTCTGACAATGAGCACGACCCAATGAGGCAGGCGCATCCAAAGGATCTAGATGGCAAAGAATTGCATAATATGACAGCGACTCTGAAAGAAAGTAAAGCGTCACCACCGAATGCTGAACATGATATGGCAACACTATCAGAAAAAGGAAAAGCAGCTCATGAGATGAATGCGACTGGCAGTAACCATCTCAACAACAGCAATGATACTGACAATAAAACTATCAATAAGAGTGATAACAGTCACCATGAGGTCGATAGTAATAAGACCAATGATAGCGCTAATTACAATGATAATAATGCTAGCAGCGATAACAAACACCGAAATGAAACCGGTTAGTTGAAATGATCAAAATTCATTGACGAAAATTTATTTGAAACAATATAAAAAATGTTAGTGCGAATATATTCGCACAAGCTTAGTGTGTGAGCTTTTAAAAAAATCATAAATTTAATGATTAAAATTCATTAGAGGTTATCAATAATTAGCCGATGTTGATTGTTATTTCTTTAGAAACATTACAAAAGTACTCTGTTTTTCAGCAAATCTTATGCGATTAAAACGACGCTTTCAATACGATATTATTGACAAATAGGATGTCTCGTTATTGAGTTATCACTACACACATTTGATTTGTTTGTGACTTGATGATGGAAGTTAATGACTAGTCGTATCCAATAATGACGAAAGAATTGTTTCAAATGTTCATTTAAAGTGTTCAGAAGTCATTTTGGTTGAATGATTTTCTTTGAAAATTCTCAGACTGCACTTCGCAGCAATTCAGTGGGAATTGAGACGTAATTTTAACTGAATACGCAATCTCGAAGAGCACATCTGAGTTTTTTGGAATGCTCACACGATGAGATCAATACGAACTCACACTGATAACGCCATTGCATCATAGCGAATTTGGTTGCTTTTTAAGGTGTGCCTCATGCTCCGATTGCACCAACAGGTTCAACAGCACCGGCACCGAGCAAGCGGACAGCTGCCACAGTTTTGTACGTTTTGATGTGCATCAACTGGATTCCTTCTCGGTTGCTTATGGATGTGTTCTGAACGAGTCTCACTTAGCAATCAGACGTTGAATCGTTGAGATACGAATCTTCATGTGTCATTTTATCGAATGTTTGCTTGTGAATTCAGATTTATTGTTGCTCATCAGCAAGAGAAGAGATTTTTTCAAGCTTTCAATTCGCACTATTGAAGCAATAACGCCCTGTGCTACATTTTTTAATGATTCTGATAGCAGACACATTTTTTCAATGTTGCTTGAGAAGGAATCTAGACAGATACATTACTGCAAACGACACGATTCGATCAAAAGAATTTGCAATCTGACAATGACTGTATTTCACGCTCCTTCGAAAGTTTTCCAACAGATTTTAAAAGCACTAGGTAGAAACACGAGTGCACTCGCTCTTTTCCTATGCTCACTCATTGAAGTTCGACTATTATCGATATGAATATGTTAGCAAACTCAAGAAGAATTTAATCCGTTCTGTATTGCTGTCATTTTAAGTGACGGTTCAATGAGGGTTTTCGTATAAAGTCAGCTTTTTTGATCTTCTAGACGTATGACTAAACAAAAGAATATATGAATATATGATGTGAGCTTTTTCATTTCATGATGCATCTAACAATTATTACTTTGATTGCGTGTGTAACGCTATGTTTGCTGTAGGAATCAATCGCAAAATCAACTTCTAGTGCTCTTGTGATTTGTTCGTGTATTTCATTGGTCAGTTCATTCCTTTGGTTTGGATTTGAAAGTGAATATTTTATTGTTTGTTACTGTGTTCTTATTGCGCTAATTGCATTATGTTGTTGTCAGTCGAAAGACGAGCTCGTGACAACGGGAAACGACAGAAACGCTTGACTACGAGGTTGTTCATGTTTGAAAAACTATAGATGTGCTGAGATGCAATGATAGAGCAGTGTTTTCGTCAACATTTATTAATGAAGAGCATATAAAAAAAGTGGAGTTGAATGAAAGAAATGGATATGAAATGCGGGGTTGTTGTGAGCCAGAGCTGCCGCTTAACGGCGAGTTCCGTCGGCGAAGAAGACACCTCCATCGATGGCGCAGTATTTGGGGCAAATACCCTTCTCTCCAGAGATACCATCCATTCCTGGTTTGCCTGCTGCTCCTGGGAGACCGTCAGCTCCTGGTGCACCATCGAGACCTTTAGCTCCCTTTGGTCCTGCTGGTCCTTCAGGTCCTTCTGGTCCTGTTGCTCCAGCGCTTCCAGCTGGTCCAGCAACACCTTGGTCTCCTGCAAACGCAATTTAGTTGCATACTTATCTTCAAGCTGTGATAAAATCTCATTCGCTTTTGCAATATTTGATTTAGATGAGAGATCTAACCGGCTGGTCCTGGTGCTCCAGCTTGTGGTGGTGGTGCGACAGGGGTCATTCCTGGTGCTCCAGCATCTCCGGGCAGACCGGCTGATCCGGCAACTCCGGGAACTCCCTTAGCTCCTGGTGCGCCTGGTGCGCCATTAAGGCCTGGTTGACCTGGTGCTCCGATGAATCCTGCATCTCCTGCTGGTCCTGCTGGTCCGGCTGGGCCGGCTGGTCCAGCTGGGCAAGGTAGGCATGGTGGTGGTGTGATGTCGTTGCAGTATCCAAGAGATTGGCCAGGGAATCCTGGGAATCCATTTGCTCCTGGTCTTCCTGGTTTACCTGGTCTACCAGGTGCACCGGCTGGACCAGCTGGTCCGGGCAAGCAGCATCCTTCGCATGTGTTTCCGCCTTGACGAGTTATCACTTGACGAGCTGTGCGGTTGCTTGCGAATGGCATATTTTTCAGGTGTTGCATCTCAGACCAGATGTCTTTCGCTGAGCCCTAAAAAACCATTGTCATCATGTGCAAAATTGAAGAAACCTTGTAAAATGTACACTTTCATTCAGTACTTTTTAGTGCTAAGTGAGGTTTGACGGATCGAAGTAAAACTTCATTTCACGACTAATGAAGCCAATCGCTTGCATTCGTTATGGCTCTAAACGAAAGCATGAAAACAATATCAAAAGCATTTACCTTGCAGTAGACAACCTCGCTTTGCAGTTGGTTGCGGACATGCTTCACGTAGTTGTAGACCATCGGTAGGGTGACGCAGACCGAAAGGACTGCAACCACGGAGAAGGTGACTGCCGAATAGGCGACGAATCTGTAGGCTTTGACACGAGTTTGCAATTCCATTGTGGACCAACTGATGTAGAACACTGATTTGTTTCGCCTTAAATAGGTTTCTGTTACTGAACGCTAGCTGTCGTGAACTGGTTCATCTGAAGGTTATTAAACAACGCAAATTAAGTGTTGGTGATGATGCGCATTTGTATATGTGGATATATCCACGCTGTCTAACTAATGAGCACAGTTTGATAAGAATCATTATTGTTTGACGGTCACTCGTATGTCACAGTATTTATGCATCATTCAGTGTTTAATTAATGACTGAAAACAATTCGTTAACGGAGAATGCGTTACGCTGCTTCATGAATTTTGGAGCATTTCAAACGATTTACGTGCATTTCCATAGCGATGTGTGTTCCTCTCAACGGAGATGAAAGGCTACTTGGAAGTGATGACCTCGGTAGTCATCCGCGTTCGCAAAACTAATCTGATGTGAAGTTTTTGACTGCGATGAACGCGCATCAAACACAACACAAAACTTAGAATGGTTTATTAACCTGTTTAAATTGTCATTTGATTTGTTTCGCTCGTTCACCGAATAATTTCTACTATATAATTGGATTGATCACTTCACATTTTTGCTAATTCAGCATAAAGCTTAAACTAATTCATTCGTAATAAATCTTTCAATCGAACGAGCAGATTTCTTAATATACTATACAAAACGAAATAACTTTAGAATACTTTCAGATTACATCTCCTAACTTTTTGAATGCTGTCAACGTGACTGTAAGCGAGATTTCGTCCGACTAGCTCCATTTTTTTTACGTTATAAAATGATGCAAAAAATCACTTAAGAAACAAAAGATGTGTTGTGAAGAACGTTCAAAATTTGTCAATCTCTGAGACACGGTTGTCGAACCACTTTCTAGACGAACTCTTTCAGTCTACACATTCTTGTTCGAAACTCATGTGGAAGACTCCTTCAGAAAGTGGATGCCTGTGGAAATGTTTTTCCAGTCGTTTCAAGCAGGCTTGGTGCAGTAGATGCAGAACAGGAGTAGCACAGTCCTGATGTTTCATTTAAAATATTTTATTTTGCGAGCAACTTTCTAACAATAAGAGTAAACATTCATCGAACTCTAATCGGTCGTATCTAATGGGTTCTTGATCTCCAGTGATTGAACAAAAAGAAATTTGTTACGTGAATAAAAGTCGTATGTGCTTTTCCATCAAGAAAGTATTTCTTGCTCACAAATTAAGTTATTTATCTTGTACCATCCCATGATTCAATGATAGGAACTCATTTTGGCGACAGATTTTGGGATGTGTTCTTGTTCGGAGATGATTTTTTCAAAACAGTTCGCAAAACTTATCTTCCACTAGTGTTTTTATCAAATCCCACATGGAAGCAATTCACACGGTTGCAGCGAATAATAAATTATTTATTGCTAAAGATTCATTGTT